TCCGATCCGATATGTCTTCTTCTTAACCCGGAACACGCACACAGCACCTGAAACTCGACTTCTTTGGGGCTTTCAATCGATTTTTCGGTCTCCATTTRAGGGGCTTTTCATAAGATGCCCAAGGTAACATCATTAGCGACAACTTGACACTAATATCACAAAAAGAAATCAAGAATCCGGCTTCAATTTAATCTTTTAAAACTAGATTCTTATTTCGGTTTATCATTGTTCTTCACAAATACGTCAAAATTGACCATTCAAATGCTACTAAAATCGAAATCCAAGCATACCGTCTTCTTAATAAATAAAAATCTGACAAAACCATTTGAWTAAAATCAAGTAAAGATAGAGAATCATACCCCAAACCGTAGCTTCTAACCCGTTCGCTAATTCCCGTTTTCGCCGTCCATTTTTTCTCTGATTTTGTAGGGTAGATTCAAAATTTATTTCTCCATTGGCTCCTTCTGGTTACGATTGCATTTATGAAAAAACAATTTGACCTTTTAACGGGTGTTTGGGATTGCTTATTTGAAATAATTTATGTTATTCTATAAAAACATTTATCAACTTATTATAAATTGATAAATTGATAAATCGAAAGGTTTAACTTCTTTAAAAACTTCTTATTATCCAAACACTCGTATTATCAATATCACACCGGAATAAATCAATAATTTTTTATAAACGATCTCAAACACCCCTAATAAGAAAACTCATTGATACAATTAGGGGGTGCTCAAAAACCCGATGAACCCGACCAACCCAACCCGAATTTAAAAAAAAAAAAACCCAACCCGAGGTAACCCGATGCATGATCGATAAAAAATTAACGAACCCGACCTTATTGGGTTGAAATCGGGTCAGGCCCAAAAAAACCCGACCAACCCGATGAACCCGACCTTAACTTTACCTTTGAATTGTAGATGACAATCATGACATGACCAACCTCAACGTCAAGAAACCGAAAGCATCGGGGTTGGAAACGTCTAAAACTATTGTTGTTGATTGATGTATTATCATTTGGTTTAAACATTTTTATTGTAATATCTAAATATTTGAAGAACTTGCATATTATCTTGAATGGTCGGTCGTATTTCAAAGAAAATGTTCCTTTTATTTTTATGTGATTTTACATTGTTTAAACACAACCCGAACGGGTTGGGTTGGGTTGATCTTTTGTTTGGGTTGGGTTGAGTTGAAAATTTTCAAACCGCCAACATTGAATTGGGTTGTTAAAATGACTCCAAACCAATCAACCCGAGCCGTGAGCTCCCCTTGATACAATCATACAACCCGTATCAATTTCTCTGTAACTTACAAAACAGGTCCTTGTAATTTTGGATTTATGTTACTAACTATAACTAACTTTC